TTACAGATACCATTAGCTCAAAAAGCTTAAACAAATTTCAATTTTAAGTTGCCGAGCTCGAAAAACAAAATCAGTAACTAACAAAAAAAACTTGTAAGTTTTTGCCATAAAAGTCCTATTACAAGGCCACCCTTAATAGAAGGCCACCCTGAAAAGTCCGATGTGAATTTCCATAATAGAAGGCCATGGCCTTTTATTCTGGGGGGGAGTTTACGACACCAGTGATTTACCATCAAATATATTAACATTAATCGACGATCAATTTTATGATTTTGTTGAACAACGATTAGGAATGTATCAAGCGTTATTGTTGAAATTACAACAAATTAATTCTGTTCCATGTTTTTTACTAACAGATGATCCATGTCAAGTTTTGAGTTTTAGCATAAATGACTATCAACTAAATGAATTAAAGAAACAAGTATGTTTTCCATTGTCAGATGGTTCATTTTTTGTTAAACCTGGTGTAAAAATTGGTTTTAAATGTTTGCACGATTTACTAACAAAAAAAGTTGAAGAAAAATTAAAACAATCAAAAAATATAAAAACACAAGCAACAACAACTGCTCCATTCAACATTTTATCATCATCATTTTCCATGCTACCAGTAACAACAAATACATCAGCATCATTAACAACAAATACACCACCATCATTAACAACAAATACACCAGCAACACAAATGACGCCTTCATCATTTCAAGATGTACCATCGATATCAATCATCGAACATAAAAGGTATTTCTTAAATTTATTAAAACAATGGTGTCTGAATCACAAGGATCACTTTAAGCTTGACACATTTGACTTAAAAGATGGAAAAGATTTTTCCTTGAATGTTGCATATAATGAAAAACATGAACTTGAAGCTAATGTAAGATGTAACTGTAGTCGACTAATAGCATTAACAATAAAAAAAGGAAATGTACAGCTCTCTAATTTTCAAAAACATTTACGCACGACCAATTGTACTCATATGAAATCATTGAAAAAAATAAATGCAGCACAAAAAAAAATTGAACTTCAACAAACAACAACTGCCTCATCGTCATCTACTGCTGCCACATTAACATCAGCAGCTCCAATACAACAACAATCTATATTACAAGTTCCTGTTGTTGTTTCAGCTGGTGCATCGTCAATCATATCTGGTCGTTCTACAAATAATCCAACAACTATTTCTCAAACAAACTCTCAAAAGCGTAGTCGGCCATTATCACAACTATCATCATCTCAAAAAGTAAAAAGAAGTCGTAGTTCAATTTTGTTTTTGTATTTTTCGTAAACATTGATTTTTATTGCCAAATCTCGTTTTTATATTTTATTAAAAGAAACTTTTGTATATTTACACACTTTTTTCTCGAAGTTACTTATGTATGATATTCTTCATTTTGTCATTAAGTCCAGATTTATACATCTCAAATGATTTACAGAAGAATTGTCAGTTCGTTTCTATAAAGAGGTGCAATACATTTCTTTTTCCATTAAGTTATGATTTATGGGTTCGTTGTTTTTTTTTTCGTTCTTTATGATTTTGTTCTATTTTTATGTGTCAAGTCTTATTTAATCAGAACCAATAAAATTTGATGCAATCACAGCGGCACTGATATTAACTTATAGTGAAATAATTCAAATAATTGCCGAGGTAGACATATATACTGAGAAGTACCGAGAAGTACCGAGAAGTACCAAGAAGTACCAAGAAGTACCAAGAAGTACCGAGAAGTACCAAGAAGTACTGAAGAAGTACCAAGAAGCACCAAGAAGTACCAAGAAGTACCGAGAAGTACCAAGAAGTACCAAGAAGTACCGAGAAGTATCAAGAAGTACCAAGAAGTACAGAAGTCTGCTTTTTCCCCCTTGGAGGATCCACTGACCAGTAATCTCTACGTTTATTTTTCTGCGCCATACCCATCAACATCGTTGTTGCAATAAAAACGTACATTTCTTTGAAGTTGGTTGCATACCATTGTGCTTGATGACTTGTTGATGTTGGCGATGATGGATTCTGTTGTTGGTACCTATTAGTTTCTTCAGCAATGTACTCCATATTTTTCTGATTGAAAAACAGCTCAAAATAATCAATAGGATTGTTTCCTAACTCCAAATCACTTGCTATTCCTGCCGTTTCGTTATTGAAATTTAAGGATTTAGAAACAAATTTTCCACGTTTCTAATTTAGAAATTCTGTTTTGTTCTCTCTTTATGATAGTTTTTCTTTTTCATCAGAATAACTGCTGATTTCAGTATCTGAATCTGAATTTGAATCAGCTAGAATTTCTGAAATTTCTTGGTCAGATGAAGTGTTTTTTCTTGACATTGTAAAGTTGTGGACCACTAAACCAGTTATCAGTCACTGGAAGAACTCTTATCAGGTATATATTTATATTGTGTTATTGTTGAAATCAACGCGTATGTATATATATATATATATATATATATAAGAGTACGCAAAGAGAAAGAGTCTACTAGAAGGTGATAGAAGAAGAAATCACTAGAGAATACAAGAGAGAATATATATTGCATTGGAATGTACATACACATGACATCATGACAGTGACAGAAAGGAAGTGATGAAGTGCAAGTGATGTCACTAACAACATAAAATGCATATATATGACGTCACAACAATGAGCGAATGGAAGAAATAAAGTGGAAATGAGCACAGGAAAATTACCCTATAGGCTATTTCCACTCATTTTTGACTGTGGTGGTATATATATATCACGCTCGGCACCAAAGGGTTAAAGGTGTTTTTCTTGACAAATGCTTCTAAAGCAGTTTATGGTTGAAAAAATGTTTGAACGGGTTTGACTTTGGAGGGTCTTTATAGACGGTTTTTGAAAATCGCTTTCAAAGGCGTGTTTTCGGTATGCTTCATCGCTTTTCATTGCGTGTTTAGATGCAGTGAGAAAATAGAGTAAGTTGAACAGAAAAGCTTTGCTGTGGAATGGCTGAATGTGGTTTCATTTATTTGACGCTCATTACGGTAGTTCATAGTGATATACTGTGGTATACGTCGGGGTTTCTGATCGTATCCGTTGAAAGACGGCCATATTGCGGTACAGGTTTTGGTGTATACGATGGTTATGTTTCGCCGTATACGTCACGGTGTGATACGACCGGAATACGATCGCTACAGAACGGGTGAAACACGGCCCGTTTACGGTCGCATACGGTCGTTTAAGATCGTTTTAATCATCGACTTGGATATACAATCGAACTTTCGCCATTGACGAAAATCTTCTTCGCGGAATTCCAGCTATCCATAAAAACTACTAACCATGCATCTCTTTACTTGTCATTATGAAAATAAACTTTCACTTCTCTACAACAAAGTTATTTCAATGTGTAGGATAATGGTTGTATGAGCCCCTGTTTCAATAGAATTTTCCCCTTCATCAAGTACGAATATTTCCGAATGAATCTTAAAATCTTTCTTCTTGCGATCTATGAAGCGAGTCAAATTACTGATTAAGACCGATTGTACTACCGAGTTTCTCTATCGATCTTGAAGAAAACATCGATTATAACAGTACAAAGCTGTTAGCGCAATCCCTTGCGGGATTAAAAATGCGAAACACGATCAATCTATCATTACTAATTAAATGAAAATCGTTTTGTTCCATTTCTTTGCGATACATTTGTAGCTAACCGTTTATCTGATGCTTTAGAACAACAGCTTCTCTTTCACATTTTTTGATGGATAGGATGATTGTGTGTCACGGTCTGTGATGGGTAGCGGGTTTCTCTGTCGCGGTCTGTGATAACTAGGGAGTTTCTCTGTCACGATCTGTGATGGGTATATGGTTTCTCTGTCACGATCTGTTATGGGTATATGGTTTCTCTGTCACGGTTTGTGATGGGTATATGGTTTCTCCGTCACGGTCTGTGATGGGTATATGGTTTCTCTGTCACGGTCTGTGATGGGTACATGGTTTCTCTGTCACGGTCTGTGATGGGTACATGGTTTCTCTGTCACGGTCTGTGATGGGTACATGGTTTCTCTGTCACGGTCTGTGATGACTAGGGAGTTTCTCTGCTACGGTCTGTGATGGCTAGGGAGTTTCTCTGTCACGATCTGCGATGACTAGGGAGTTTCTCTGTCACGGTCTGTGATGGGTAGGGGGTTTCTCTGTCACGGTCTGTGATGGGTAGGGGGTTTCTCTGTCACGGTCTGTGATGGGTATATGATTTCTCTGTCCCGCTCTGTGATGACTAGGGAGTTTCTCTGCCACGGTCTGTGATGGCTAAGAAGTTTCTCTGTCACGGTCTGTGAGGGGTATGGATTTTCTCTGTCACGGTCTGTGGGGAGGGGGGATGCAAATTTCTACCCCTAAACACTTCAACACTCCTTTCAGATCGTGTTTCACAAAAAGGTAGTAGTTCAGCGAGAGTAAACAACATCAACGTTTTCTGATAAATTTGAATGAAACTACACTGAAAATATTTATATTCTATGTTTGAACTATTTTGATAGTGTGCCACATTATGTAGGACATCTTAGGTTCAGATTCGAGTTTATTTAGAGCTAATTCGCCTAGGAGAATGTTCGAAAGCTATTACCGCAAGTTCGGAGTACAATTTCACGAGGTGATTCAGATGGCGAAAATCGCTTCTCGATAGACGGCATAGTAACCTTAAAAAACCCTGATTACCATTGTTTCTTCCACACTGAAAAAAGAAGGTGCCACCCGAAACCCCTAAACGGTTTCGAGTTTTGGAACAATATTGAAACCCTTTAGGATTTCGTACAGATTCCTTTTCTTTCATTTTGCAAAAACAATAGCTTCATAGTATGATTTTCCCACTAGGTTCAGTATCCTACTAATAAGCTCATGCACTGCAAAATAATAACGTGTCATATTGAACCATTTTTTCTCGAAAATCTAAGCTTTAAAAAGGGTTCCGTAAAAACCAAAGATGCCTAAAAATGATTGTGAGTGACCGGAAAAGCATTTTCAAAGCTTTCCTAATTTTGCTTACGAAACCTAAAACGGTTCAGAGTTTGTTTCAAAAATTTGAACCTTTTTAGGTTTCATAACGTTCTCAAAAGCGTTTTTAGGTTTCGCAACATACTCAGAAACTATTTTTGGTTTCGTAGAAACTACGAAACCCTCAAATGGTTCAGTATCGTGCCATTTTTTTTCAGTGCATTGCACGAACTTCAAATACAGTAATTTTTGGGCTGATTCGTGCAGCTGAGCGTTTCAAAAAATATATTTCAATTTCCCAGTGCCATTGGACGAGCTTTATTCAATGGTGAAAACCGCAGCTTCACGCATTGCACGGTTCTCCAGAGAGATACTCGATACGTTGGACTGGATCAACCTCTTGGGGCGATATTTCGTAGACTGATTTACTCAAGGACATGTTCCAACGAAAGTATTCAGTGTATCGAATCCATTCTCGTAAGCTTTTTTGAATAGTGAAAACTTTATCTCAATACATCGCTCCATTCTCGAGAAATCATCAAGTACCGCCGCGAAGATTAAAGGAGAAAACGTAATTGGCCCAGTATCTTGGGTATCTCTCGAGAAACGAGCAATCTATGAAGATGCAGTTTTCTCCATTCGATGGAGCTCATTATATTGCACTTGGAACTTTAATTATTTTTGTTGAAACATTTTGCTGGATGGATTGGTGCAGGAAAAACGAATCTTTATGGTAAATTTCGCCATATTGACAAGGTCCTCTAGTGTGAGAATGATTGATTACTTCTGTTGGAATATTTTGCTGAACAAATCGATCCAAAAATTACTTTTGTAAAATTCATGTAATGGCAGAAACAATGTTAATTTGGATTTTCCTGTCTTACTATAGCATTTATCGAAGTGCGATTTTCACCAGTCGATGCAGCTCGTCGAGTGATAGTTGGAACTTACAATAGAAGCTTCGGAATACTTCTGTGAATTAATCGACCATAAAAAACTCTAATTTGGGCCTAAAGTATCCTACATTGTAACATACTCCTATTTAAATACCAACTATTGATGAAAAATGAGAAATTACGATTGTAACATTTCAGCTTGAATCAACAGGCTTGTATTTTTGAGTGGGACGGTAGATTTCAATGTGGTGGCCTGCACCCCTGTTATCATTATCTTCATAGAAGCCTGTTCGCTCATTGATAGCGTTGCCTGCATTTTCGTTTGCATCTTCATCTACTTTCACCCATCTTTTCGTCTGCGACAACTGACACTTGGAGTTGATGTGACTATCAAACTTTACGGATATATCATAATTAAATATGTTTGATATATGGGTACGAAAGTTAATATACTC